CTACTCTCATCTCCCTGGCCCAGCCGAGGGGCAGTTGGCTCTGTCCCACAACACTGGGCTGAAGGCTGCTCCTTGGAGTGTGTCCTTAGGATAAAGGTGGAGCACAAAACTAGAAAAGCAGCCACAGAGCTTCTGTGCAAGGCTGCAGAGAGAGTCTGTGTGGCCTGATCAAGGAAAGGGGAGAAATCCAAATCTCCTGGGAAGGGGGTGGAGTGGTGGCAGGGAGCATCTCTGCCACAAGCCAGCACAGGATACAGCACATAAAAATAGACCAGGAGAGAGACCTGCACATAGGAACATGGTCACAGTTCAACACACACTCACAGTCCTTTCAGCAACCCCCAGTAATCCACACCAAGAGATCTGGTGCTGTTCATGGGGAGATCCCTCTCCTGATGGTGGCTTAGTCTGACACAAGTTACACTTTATTAGCCCTGGTTCTGGACCAGTAACAGAAGGTTCCTCAAAGCAAAGTGCACCCTGGCGCTTCCTTCAAATCTGAGACCTCCCCCAGCTGAGAAAGCAGCTGACAAATCCTGTGGAACGAATTCATTCGTACCTGGCAACAAGGAAGAGGCAGAAGCTGGTCAGCAGGTAGGCGAATAAGAGGCCGGTCCAGGTCTCCTTGCTGAAGGGGGCCAGGAAGTGGAAGAAGGACATCTCCTGGGAGACCGTGTCCTTCCGGAGCAGGATCCCGATCCCGGTCTGCAGGAAGGGGGTGGTGAAGGACACCACCTCCTCCCTTGCTGATGTGACCGTCAGGGGAGCCACTGCAATGTCAGCTTCCTGGAAGATGGAGACCAAAACTCACCAGCCACCCCCTGCCCGAGGAGTTCTGTCACCCCCACGCTGAGCGGGCAGGGACCTGCACGGGGGTCACCCCTGTGCCCACCCAGCTGCCCCCTCGGGTGGGCTCCAGGCACAGGACAGCTCTGTCTGGCACTGTTCAGAGTGGGGTGCTGGGTGGTATCTGGGGCTTCTGCTTTCCCCCCACAGCATCACACGCAAGCTGAGGCTGTGCCCCAGGAACCACAGGGGTTCTGTTTCCCAGGACCAGGGGGTGTGTTCCCTCCTGCTGCTGGCTGTGGCACCTGCGTGGCTGACAGCAGCCACAGAGCTGGGTTCAGAGGAGAAACAACAATTCAGATGTCACCGAGAGATGACAGAGCACTAGCCACAGGGAATGGCACATGCCAAGGTAGGATGTCTAAGGGACGGCCATTCTGAAAGAGACAAGTGTCACCTAAAGGTTAAGTTCAGTTTTCCCTAAAGCCATTATTTTTGTTCTGTTGGTGAGCTAAGGTGTCTGCACAGTCTCTCAGACTCAGAAGCACTGGGTAGCCTGTGAGACAAGACAAGCACCAGGAGCACCTTGCTGCAGCAAAGGTTTCCTGCTATGGCCATTGTCTCCTAGTTCCTTCGTTTCCCTATCTGCAGACCAAACCCAGCTGCAAGTCTTGCTGTTCCCAAGCTCTACACAAAGTCAGGATGACTCCCAGCTGCTCAGTCCCTCAGCAAATTCTAACGAAGCCCAAGAGCTGCTAGCACTGGTCTTGTCAAAAGCAACCTGAGGAGGACCTGTCTCAGAATCTCCCCGACCATGCCGGTCCAGTTGCCGCTGGGCGCCACGGCTCCGTACTTCCCGTCGCCCACCACCCGCACGCGGTAGCTGAAGTGCAGCATGGCCGCCAGTGCCCGCAGCAGGTCCAGGCAGTACCCCTCCAGCTCCACGCCGCGCCCCATGGCGTAGGGGTCCTCCTGCAGGGGAGAACACACCCTCAGCCTCCCGCCTGCCACTGCCTGGGAATGACTTTCGGGGGCCAAGCCCCACCCGATGACCCCTCTCCACGTTATCAAGGGTCAGTATTTCCCCACTCCAGAGATACTGACTGGAGTCTTGTGCCAGCTCTGACAGACCCCAGCAGGGCAGCTGCCCTCTGCAGCCACAGCTGCCACAGAAGGGAGTGAAAATCTGCTCTGGTGTGAAAGCCCCAGTGCATTTCAGCTGGCCCAGCAAAGCGCCCGGCGAGGGTCACGTGCTGGTGCAGGACCTGAGAGCAGCCTCAGAGAACGTCCTGCTGCAGCCTCCTCTGAGCAGTCCAGCTTGTCTGGGCCATGTGGTAGCACACCTGGTTTTACGGCCTGCTTTCAACCCCTGCACACGTGTGACCTTTGCTTATCTCCACTGCAGGCCAGAAACAACCTGCAGGTAACACAAGAACCTTTGGATGCAGCTAAGCAGAGCCAGGGTCCTGGCCAGCTGCACAGAGCAGGCACTCAGCAAAGTGACAGCCCAGTCCCTTCCAGGGCTGACCCTGCTAGCCCTCAAATCCTCCCACTGCAAGCTACAGACCGTTTCTTCCCCTGCACCTCTGAACCAGGGCTCCAAACCCACCATCTGCGCTGAACAGGGATGTGGGTGTCAAAGACAGCCCCCAAAACACCCAGAAATATCTGGGTGGCAAAAAAGGACCAAGTGTCATTCCAGCTGCCTCCTGGCTGCTCTCAGGGTTGTGTCTCTGCCTTACCAGGATTGTTGTGACAGTCAAAGTTGGAAGACCCTCTCCCCGTCCCCTTGAGTCAATGCCCTGAAAAACAAAAAGCCAAAGAAGGAATAATTGGATTCCAAGTGGAGACACTCCCCACTCGGCTGGGCTGGCACTGGAACTGGGGTGGGAGGCAAAGGGTGCATGTGCAGGTGTTGAACCAGCTGCAGATCCCTCCTGCACGCTGCAGCAGCTTCACCACCGCTGTTCCCTAACGGGAATTCATCAACCACAAGCATCCCCCTTTACTGCCAGCTGTCAGCATGCTTTGTCCAAATAGAATCACTTTAAACGCTGTCAGAGCTCTTCAGACACACAGTGCACACAGTCTTCCCGAGAGATCAATCCTGTAGCAGACAAAACAGTTAGCTGCCAATTAGGGTCTCATTAGAGATCAATTCCGGGAGACACAAAACAGTCGGAAACCCGAGAGGAAGAGGAGGAGAGGAAACATGGATTGCACAGAACCCTGAATTCAAGAGTGCATCTCCTGACAAGCAACTGGGCTATAAGCAGAATCAGCCTGGGGCACACTGAATTTTGAGTTCTGGACAGAAGATTGAGTAGAAAGCAGCACAGACAGACTTAGACATGGCCATCACTAGCCACAAAAGGCATATTTACCATATAACTCTCCACAGATTAAAAGCACTGCACACCACATCTATTTCTGATTTGAAATGCAAGACCCTTTGCACATACCCCTTCACTGGTAGCTCTACACCAGTGAGCTTAACCATACCTTCCTCGTGGCATCACTGTTCCTCGTGGCTCCTGAAAAAAACACAAGAGCAAAATCAGCTTCTTGCAGGGCTTTTATTTGCAGCTCCTTCACAGTGAGGTTTCACCCCCCCATTCCACCAGCCAGACTGCTTGTCTTGGACTCCCAGGCTCGGTGCACCACAGTCTGTCTGCTCAGCTCTCTCACTCCCAGCCCGGTGTCCGTGGGGAGCAGGAGGAGCAGCCCCAGCCCCAGCCCCAGCCAGCTGCAGAAGGTTCTAACCATGACATCACGGTTCTGGCCGTTGCTCACACCCCAAGGAATGGATCCTGCAGAGTCAGTTGCCTTGTGTCCTTACTGCCCACCCTGGGAAGGCTGATAGCCAGCTCTCCTGCTGCTTCACACCACTAAGGCTTCCCCCTTGCTCCTGCAAGGCCTTGTCTACAGCCTGAAGGAAAAGCTCTGTAAACAACCAAATCCCATCACCACCGAGTCCCCAGACACCAGGTTACCTCGTTCTTTCCTTCCCCTACTACTGAGAGGTTCCTGCTGCCAGCAGAGCCACAGGAGTTGCAACCACTGGCATAGAAACCTTCCTCCACCACATCCTGCTCCGTTCTCCCCTCTAGCACCCTGACTTTTCACTCCCCTGAAAATTAAAACCTCCAAATGGGCCGTGACCCAAGCCAGGAGCCAGCAGTGACAGCACTAAGGAAAGAGGGAGCAGGAGGCCTGTTGTGTGTCACTTGTCTCTGTGAACAGTGACAGTGAGGGGAGCACAAACCTGACAGCACTGGAGCCAGGGCAGCCCTGCAGTGAACCCCAAACCCACTACTGGCCTCTTCTGCTTTCCTTCTCCTTCCTACACCTCAGTCTCCCCTTTGCAAAGCCAAGGTAATGATAGTCCCTTCTTTGGTACCAACACCAGGGGCCACCCCTGAAAGCACTGACTGAGCTCAGCCAGGTGTCTGGGCTCTACCCTCTGCTCTGCAGTGTTAACCAGTCCTGTTAAACTCCCTGCTCCACAGCTTCCCTTCTCCCAGTACTCAGGAGAATGCCCCAGTCCCACCCCAGGGGCAGGAGAGCGAAACCACGGTGCCTGAGATGCAGCATTAAAGCCACAGTCGTGTCAATAGGTGGCTCATTCATTGCCCAGGGTGATTTTTCTAGAGTGTGCACAGCATCACTGCTTGGAGTCCAAGAATGCACAGTGCAAAAGCCAAAAACCCCAGAAGATTAAAAAATTAGGGTGTTTTCATTCTTTCAAGCAAAAGCTGTGAGTTTTTCATTAAATATAACACCACATTCATTCACGATCTATTATTCATTCTCTGGGTTTGCATTTTCTGGCCTTCTGTTGAACTCCACATTACTGTAAAACAAAACCTGTTTTTTCCCCTCTCCACTACAGTTCTCCACGGGAGCTGGAAATCTTCACAAAGGAGTTCTCTTGTCTCCCTTTAGAAACTCAGTGAAGCCAGTAAAAGCTTTTGGAGGCTCCTTTTTGAGGACCTGCTAGGGTTTCTTGGAAAAAAACTGCCTGTCCTGGGGGCTCCAGCTCCCCCACGGTGGCACTGGGTGCAGCTCCTCAAAGCCCCATTGTAAGGGCTCCTGAAAGGGCCATGAGCAATCAAGCTGCAGCACTAACTCAAGTCCACTGCAGTGACACTCCTCAGAAGCCAAGTCCTCATTGTGAGAGTCCACAAAGGCCTAAGACAAAGAAAAGCAGCTCAACCCTCCAGCCTTGCTCCCCACAGGCCGCTGGCTGCAGGAAGTGTCTGTGGCTGCAGAAACCAGCCTTGTCCGTGCCCCTCCTGCTCTGAGCGTGCCCACCCTCCCCACGGGAGATGGCTCCCTGCCTGGGGCACAGCCTGGAGCCCTGCTGAGAGCTGGGCCTCACCCCAGTGTCCTCCCCAGGCCAGTGCCCTTCCCTGCTCCTCTGTGACCAGGAGCAGGAGCTGAGCCAGCGGAGGTGGTGGGTGGGTGGTGACAGCTTTGGAGTGCACTGGGACACTCAGGATGAGAGAATTTGACCATCGTCCCAGAATCAAGGAGCTGAAGTATCTGTAACCTGGGGTGAAGTGCTGCTCCCACAGCTAGGCAGCTACCAGCTCTGGGGAGATGGGCAGGACAGGCAGCAGAGGAAGTGAAGTTGCTCTCCCAGCCAACACAGAGAACTCATTTTTATCTCCCAGGAATTTTGCATAGCAAAGCTACTCCTTAGCCTGAGTCTGGACTCCAGCCAAAGAAAAAACACCAAAAAGCCACAACTGGATTAAAACAGCAGCACTTGTGGTTCAGTTGCAAAGGCCAATCCCAGCTCCTGGCCCCAAGAGCGAGCCGTGATCCAGCTGGCTGATCCTGCCAGGCTCCTGCCACTGTCCCTTGGGAGCTCCAGGGGAATGTAGCATTTGTTACCCCTTGCCTACAAAAAGCCTGCAGGCTCCCAGAGCTGACCACTTGAACGCACTAATTCCTCTCTTCTTCCCAAAACAGGCCCTGAGCAGAGCAGCTAAACAAGGAAACCATTACTCACAGGAGAACGGGTTCATCAGCACATCTTGCTGCAATTCTCGGGACCACAGACTGAAAAGAGTGCAGCTTTTACCCCAGTGGTGGTGTCCCAGGACACCTAACCACCCTCTTCTAGGCTCTGTCATCTTCCCTGATCTCTGCCACCTGATTTACAACTGCAGCAGCACAGACACTCAGTCACAGCACTCCTAACAAGAGGAGCTCACAACCACAAGCTCAAACAAGGCAGGCCCTGGTGATCTCTTAATAACCAAATCAGAAGCAAATTCTTAGATTAAGACAAAATCCTTTAAGCACAAGCAGTTAAAGAATGAAACAACACTCTATAAATAAGATTTAAGAATAAACACTGTCAATAAGATTTGCAGAGTTGGCTGCAGCCAGCATTTTGGGACCATTTTTCTCACCTGTCTGGCTCGATTCTCTCAGGAGCAGCACGGTTGTAATCACAGAGAACATGAAGTGAAGGCCTTTGTCCATTGGAGCAGAAATATCTACTGTCTAAAGGGAACCTCCTGCTAGAGATGAAAGGCAAGTAGTTAAAGCTGGTTTTATGGTTCCTCCTTCCTGGGATAAAATATGTACATCCTGGATTTTCTGCACCTTGTTCTGAGAGTCCCAAGTCAAAGGTCTCCAGCTGCAAAAAGTCACTCCTGAGACTAGTCAGAACAAAAACTAAAGAACATTTCACTGCAGCAAAAAGGACAAGGCTCAGAGGAAAGGCAGGGAAGCAGCTGGGGGGGGTGGCTCCTGGGACTAGCCCCATGTGCTGAGACATGGGAAAGGGCTGTAAAGAAATGTTGGTAGCCAGCTGAGGCACTAATAACACAGCCTCCCTCAGGGGTTCTCATCTGGGGGGCTTAAAAGCAAAGCCTGAATTTCATTTTCCATTCGGGTTGCAGAAAATAAAGTTGTTTATTTCATTTGCCCCCAAATGATCTGGAACAAAGATTTCACCCTGCATCAAGAGACCTGAGAAACTGTTGACAAAGTCCTCTTCTGTCTCAGCCTCCTGCTCTTAACTGGATGAGGAAAAAGGGGTAGTGGGGGAGGGTGAAAACCAGAAGATTTTATTAACTTTTTTAAATTTCAAGCTCTGCAACACAATTTCTGCATGACTTGAAACAACTGTGTACTTGTCTCTGTACAACAGCAACAGAGCTAAGAGAAACAATCAGTGCCAGGTCACATTAAGGCTCAGGCTGCTGCAAAACTTCTGATTATATTTTTCATCACAGTGTCAAACAAGGTTCAGGACACCATTACCCCAAACACTATAAAAAATATATTCAAAGTGCCCAAGAAAACTTATTGTTCAGTAGAATATGTAGAGAAAAAAAATTTGGCCGAAGGTATTACTTGCTTCTGACTGATGCTCAGGAAACACTGGCTTCAGTTCATCCTACCTCAACAATTCTTAGGAAATTCTCTCCAAACCTGCATCCCTGTGGAAACTCTTGACATTACAGCTCAGCAGTTTCACTCGGTTTCTCTACATTTTTCACCTACGAGAGGTAAATAAAATTCACACAGAAGATTCTTTCCAGGTTAAGTTTAAATGCTGTCTTGTTGTTGTTATTAAAAAACACTTTTTGATTGTTGTGCAAGGCTCAAAGGAGAAAACTGATGTCTGAGGGATGGATCAGCCTCTGCTCTCTAAAAGGCCACTGCAGAACACAGGCAAAGTGGGAGCTGCTGCTGCCAGAGCAGCACATGGGCTGGCAGGGAATCACCCCTGGGCACAGACAGCAGCATCTTCAGGTGGAACCAGTGAGGAGCTGCATTCTGCCAGGGAGATTTAGCCTGGAAGTTACTGATACTTTTTCCTTATAATTCAGTACATATTACAAAATTATCTTTTATTCAAGTGGCCTCCTTCAAGAAAAGCCAGTCAGAGCTGGCAATAAATTGCTTGCACCACCGCCAGAGCAGCACAGGGGCTGGCAGGAAATCACCCCCGCGCACAGACAGCAGCATCTTCAGGTGGAGCCAGTGAGGAGCTGCATTCTGCCAGGGAGATGTAGCCTGGAAGTTACTGACACTTTTTTCCTTATATTTTGGTACATATTACAAAATTACCTTTTATTCAAGTGGCCTCCTTCAAAAAAAGCCAGTCAGAGCTGGCAATAAATTGCTTGCACCACCTTGAAAAGAGAGAGTTGTCAATGCACTGGCTGCAGACTGTCTGAAAGAACAAATAGATTGTAAATATGTGCACAAAAGGATTTTTGCAAAGGCTAAAACACTTCCCTAGCTCTAATTTAGTACTGGAGTCATTCCAGGACCAACAGAATCCGTTAGAGAGGATGGCAGGGGGGGTTCAGGGCCCCCCAGTGTGTACAGGTTCCTTAGATACGCTTGAATTAACCCCTGCAATATCCCCTCACCCTCGACCTGAGGAGGTACCACGAAGTTTTCTCATGCTGGCTATATAGAAAGCAAACAAAGGATTTCAGAAGTTCCTTTGCTACAATCAGCTCTCACTCCCCAGAAGATTTTCAGTCTAAACAATAAAGACCCTACTCCTGCCTGCAGCACAGAAGGCAGGCACTGGTACTAACAGAGCAGGGGGGAAGGTGAGTGCCCATCAGAGAGGTCACACAGGCTTCAGTCCTTATCTAGAAGAGGAAGAGCAGCGATTGAGGGTGGTAGCTCACCTCCAGCAGGTCCTCCAGCCTCTCCTAGCTCCCTCTGGCTGGGCACTAGCAGAAGCGACTCTCTGAGCGGGCACAAACTGCTGGAAGGCGTTGGGCTGCCAGGGCTCAGCACTGTTATAGAGAGGAGAGAGGGAGGAGCCAGGCCAAGGAGCTCCTGCAGAGCCAGCCAGCTCCTACTGGAGACCCACTGGGTTTGGGCAAGGAGGAGGAGACGACACCCAGCAAAAGGACAGTGTTTGGAAGTAGTTTAGTCCAGCAGCTGAATAGCATGTTGAGACTCACAAAATACTATTGCTGACCTGGTGCGTGGTCCTGGGGGTGCCCTCTCTCTTCAGAGCAGCATCCCAGCAAGTTGGGCCCACCTCCTGGCCACTGACAATGTGAGCTGCTCAAGACTCTCCACTCCATGACTGTCACCTGCAGGATTCTCATAGAACACAAAAAAAAAAAAAAAACAGACCCCAAACCCCCAGACCCCAAACCGTTCCATAGGTCTAATATTTCTCACAATGCACAGACAGCTGAAGGAAGGCCTGAGCTTGGAGGTAAACCATCAAATTCCTCTTGGATTGTAAATTCCATTTAACACCCAGGCAGAGAAGTCACATTCCTGTCCCCTTCACCCTTCCAGTCACCAGCCACACTTGAGCACCAAGCTGAAGCACAAGGCTGCCAAGTGGCTGCTTCTGCCTGGCCAGGTCATTGATGAAACACCCATCAAGGCACTGCAGTAACAAAGGAGAGGCCTTCAAAGGAATTCAGCAGAGCAAATCACTACAACTCGTCCTGCAGGGGAGTCAGAACTTGTCCACACCTCAGTCAAGGAACTAAAGTGTACTCCCTCCCTGACTCTGAGCACTGGTTCAGGATGGGAAGCTCTCCAGCAGCTGGCACATCCTGGCCTCCCCCCCTGTCCTTTTCTATATGTGTCACTGAGTAAATCAATTATTAAACATCAACACAGCTTGTCTTCTGCAGAGCCAGAAGTTGCTTACATTTCAATGAACAAATGCTGAGAAGACTGCATTTGGTGAAGCATGCCCTAACAGAGTTCAAGGGCTTGGCTCATGGCTCACTGCAGCTCAGGGGAGTCCTGAGGTCACTTTTAATGCACTTCAGACCCCAGATGGCATAAATCATTCTGCAATACAAAATATGGCAAGATGCTAGGATTGTTTTAATGATACTCACATCCTTTCTACAGGTCAGAACCAAAAAAGAGTCCAGGAAGATCTCTTCATTGAGCACCTCCCAGAGGCCCTGACCCATCTCCAGGTTCATTTCCAGGTGCTGCCTTTGGTGGTTTGTGATTTGTTCCCCACATTCTCACCTGCCAGTGATGCCCTGGAGATTCTGGCAAAGGGCTGCATGCAGGGGGAAGGTGGCAAAACCAGATAAACTGAGGTCTCCAGCTGCTTTGCATAAATATTTTCTAAGCTTTAAAAAGATGCACCTTGTGGTCTGTGGTTTGGCAGCTTATAAGGGCTGATAAGCTCAACTACAAGCAGCTGAAAGCACCTCAGCACCAGATAAAATCAGTTTTTAAGGACAGAATCCACATACCTCATCAGTGTTCTTAAACACTGAGTTGGAGCAGTGCAGACAGTCATGGTGGATTTGACTTGGAATTTATGCCCAAGTCCAGCCACATAGAATACACTGCTTGTAATTTGGAAACTTCACAGAAATAGACATATAATTAACAGTCTCACATGGTGTAGCAACACAAGCTGTAAAGGTAGTTACTATTAATTTGGAAGCAGGAGACCAAATTCACATGTATCCTAGCAAGTTAAATCCAGACACAAATTTTGAAAATTTGAAAAAAAAAAGTTTTGAAGTGCTACATGATGCTGCCTTCTGTGGGGTGCATTGATTTAACAAATACTGCTTAATCAACTAAAGATGAAAATAATCTGATTGTGAAACTTGGTCTTTGAAAAGACACAAATAGTCCTTTTAAACATTCACTTTCTAAAGCTGTCAAGTTGCATGTACTTTCTTGCTTTAAAGTTAAAAAAAGCAGCAACTCCCTGCAGCTTTTCAGCCCAAAGCTGCAGCATTACAGGGTGACTTTTCGTCCACAGAATCTTAATGAAATTTGCTTTGTGTTAAGACACAAGGCAAGGCTAATTTTGGCAGATCACACATTCTGCTGCTGATTTACCTTTTTTCCTTCAGAGCCTGCAATGATTTGTAAAGTGCAAGGTCCAAACCTTTGTTGCACAAACCTCAAGGGCCTCTCATCCAAATTCTGAAGACGAGCAACAAAGATCTGAGCCAGGATGGAAAACTGAGAGAATATTTTTAGGCAGATGACACTGAAGATCATTTGAAAAGATTTAAACAGAGACTTTAACCCCTCCCAACCCCTGTCTCCCTCTTATGATGATATCACCAGCTACAGTTAGCCTTACATTTTGATATCTCAGAGTCTAAAAGCCTGTGGCTAAATTATAGTAAAATTAGAAACCAAGAGCTTCTTTCCAGTCCTGCAACCCACCCGTGAGCTGATGAGCCTTCCAGGGGATGGTATGGAGGCAGTAACCTGCTCCCACCGTGTGCTCTGCTGGGCAGGAAAAGAACAAGGTATTTTTGAATGAGACAGATGAAGAGCAATTTTTGGCTGCAGTATTTTCAGCCAGACTTGAAACAGGCTCAGTGATGCAACAGGGCTATCTATCCATCTTACTTGGAGAGCTGTAACAGAACAGATCAGGTCCTTGGATGGTCTCTGGCTGCTAATTAGATGAGTTCCCTGAGAGTTTCATCTATGCTGCCACAGAACTTGCTTTGAGGCTGTCCCTGTGCTGGGCACCACAGGACCACAGAATGCCAGGCACGTGCTGTGGTGGACCTGGGAAACTCTGAGCTGGGTCTGAACTGGCTACCTCTCTGAAAAAGAGTAAAACTAAATGTTATCCACTAAGGAGCCTTTAAAACAAGGCAGGTACAATGAACCACGTTTGTACACCACAAACTTCTAGACAGCAGAGAAAAAGCATAATGTCACAGCTGAAGAGCCAGCAGCCAGAGGGTTAAATATTTTTATTTTAGTAGTGTAAGGTGGTTTTACAAACAAATGTTTAGATTTTGCAATATACACAAAAGAATCATTACAAACAAAAGCAAAATATCCTCTCAATAATAGGGATTCTATGCAGCCTGAAATAAAATTAAACCTCTGTTTCTCTTTAAAATCCATCTCAGTAAACATTCTTCTCCATCACTGATAAAATGTACATCTATAATCAATGACACAATAACTGGGGGACGGGATGACATCCCTACAAATAAAAAGTAAAAAAAAACAGGGAGGAAAAATTATTATTCTGTTTAGGCTGGCATTTAATTCTAAATATGTCCATCTAAAAAAATTAAATATCTCTTTTTTTAAAACATATTGAAAATTTTGCGTGGCAGTGCAATACAGAAATAGTAAAATTCATCCAAAAAGTGCTATGTACAGCAGCATTGTTAAAGGACCAGAAAGAAGGGACGGTGCAGTTTTCAGGAAGAGACTAGCATGCTGTTTAGACATTTCTGAGTTAAAGTCAGAAGATATTTCCTGTCTATTTTTAGTCATTCCCTTCTCTCTCCTGTCTCATCCCCACAGATGACATTCTGAGACGAGGAACAGTCACAGTTCAGTTGCAGTGTGTGCACGTGTACGTATCTGTGCAGATCTATATTTGATACACACAGATGTGTATATATATATATATTAATACATATAAACAAGCTTGGATTAAAAAAGCATTGCTTTGGAACATAGTGAGAGCTCTTCTTCAAGGAGTTAGACAATACAGGTTTTCACTGAAGTAAACAGGCCCACGATGGAGGATGGACTTTATCTAGCACATTATTAATTCATGAAACAATTACACTGCAGTTTTTTGTATTTCCCAGAGAAGACACCCTCAGAGGCCTCAGACTCATCCAAATATAAATGAGAACAAGGAGTATGATTTTAAATCCAGCCTCTTTTCAGGGATCCACAATTTGTAAGAGGAAAATTTACCTTAGCTGTCATTAACATCACACAGATGTTGACTTACTGTAAGAAGCAATTACTGAAGCCAGTAAAGAGCAGAGGTTTGCACAGAGCAAACTGCAAATGCAAGAAGTGGTCCCACATACAAAAGAGGCCAAATTCAAGGCTGGGCAAAATTTAATTTAAAAAAGAAGGAGGTCAGATCATTAAGACTGTAAAATTACAAGTCTCCAGTTTGACTCGACCGCTCTATTTCCACAGACTGCTGGTAAATCTGACACCCATCCACCCTTCTGGAGTCACACGAGGAGGTGCCCGTGCGAGCAGGGGAAGGAAGCACGAGGCTGGAGGAGGATGTTCTGTGCCTCTAGGAATGTAAACAGGGGCTCAGCTGGTGCTCCCCAGACTACAGCTTCAGCATGAAGAACACCTCCGTGTCGGTGCCACCGTCGGCCTGGCCCTTCGGCTGGCAGGGAAACGCGGCAGGAGAAGCTCCATCTGTGCAAAGTGCTTTTGCCACGCTGCAGGCTCCCTCGGGGTTCCCCCTCTCCTCGATGGGGCTCCCCCCGAGCTGGCCCAGGCTCTGCCGCCGCTGTCTCTCCTGCGCCTGCTTCGCCCTGTTGGCGATGTACCGCACCCTGCTCTGGCTGCGGGAGGAAGACCTGCGGAGGAGCCCCAGGCTCTCCCCCTCCTCCTCGGACTCGGTGGGGTCCAGGCTGATGGGGGAAGTGATGTCATTTTCCTGCTGGAAGGCTGTCAGCTTCCTGAGCTGCTCCGTCAGCTCGTCCTGGGCCTTGGCAGAGGCCCTCAGGCCCGAGGAGCGGCGCTGCTCCCGCATGGAGCGGGTGACGAAGCTCCTGCTGATGCTGCGGTATTTGCTTTCGAAAGTGCACACAATGTCATCAGAGGTAAGGTCTCCAAGGCTCTTGGATTTTGCCTGGTTATTTCCAACCATATCATGTGCTTTGGACTTGTTCGAAGACTGTCTGAGGCTTTCCATGTAGAGCCTGCTCCAGGTGTGCCTTCTAGGAATGGACGAGAAGGCATCCGGAGGGCTCCTGGCAAGGGGACGGGGGCACAGCTCATCTGCTGGCAGCTGGCCCGACCTCAGGTTAGGATTGGATTTGCTCTTGCTCACCATTGGCATCTCGTTGCTGGAGGCTGTGGCAGATCGTGGGCGTATACCCCTTCTTATGGCAAGGGGCTCAAAACTGTCGTGACGGATGCCAAGATCCGGGAGGCTTTTGCGAGCTAGATTGGGCAGAGAGAGATCTATCACAGTGTCATTGGAGGACATGCTGGAAGAGGAAGACATGCTGTCACGATGACTGCTGCAATCTAGCTTGCTCCAGATCCGGTCATTAACAGTGGCATCAAAGTATACTTCTGCTGCTGGAGACAGGCTACTTGGAATTTTCATTAAGGCTGAGGAGTCTGACATCTTCAGTCCTTCACTCTTTGACCTCCTTACTAACACGTAAGAGCTCGTCTGAGAAACAGAAGCAGGTAGAGCCTGTGCAGCCTGGGCTTTCTGGAAAGTATCTGGGGACAAAGCTGTCTGCCTGCTGTTAACCACACTGTTGTGCTGCAGTAGAACAGCTGCTGCACCAAGCTTTTGCCCGTTGGATTCCACGGTGCTTTTCAGGCCTGTTAACACCTGCCCTGGCTGCTCATTTTGCTTTTGGCAGTTTTCAACAGGTTGGCCATCAGTCTTACCTGCTGCCTCGACCAGCCAGGCCTGCTGAGGAGGCACTGCCAGTCCACACTGGTCTGCAGCTGTACTGAGTGCCTGTGTCCGGCCATTTTCTCCTTTGAGACACCCTGCCTCGCTCGTCCTCTCATCTTCTTGGACTACTACACCTGTGTCAGAGGCTCTTGTGACTACCTGCACTTGGTCTTCTGCAGCCAGATTTGTTCTTTGATCTCTAGTGAGAAGAGGTTCTTGAGGCTGGCTGGGTGTGCTGCTTCCTTCTGATCGAGATTCGGTGGAATGATCAGACACAGACCCTTCTTCAGAATCACTGTAAGGAGCAACGGGTAGAGGGAAGAAAAGGCTGGCATGATGGTGGTCATTGGCAACAACAGGCTCTTCAGTGATAGTTTCTAGGCTGCATAAAGAAGTGACTGACCTCTGCATTGAGAAATGGCAGACATCTACTCGGGAGACATGAAAAGACAGGAAAAAGAGAGAAACAAGAAAAAGAGAGATACAGGGTTAATTTGCTATTACCAATGGCAGTTTAGCTGAAGATTCATTCATTATGTGTTATCATTCTGTTTTTAAGGTAGTAGATGCATATATGAATCATAATTTTTAAAATAACTTATGACTTCAAATGCCTGGCTAAAGGCAGCTAAAAGTTCTGCTCATGCAGTTGCAGCTGCCCAAAAGCCCTGTTGCTTTCAGAAGATCTCAGTCCATGCACAGTAGCACCATATCACTTTTCTGATTATCTCCTTCAAACAACCATACCTATCAGTTTCTGGGTGTCCTTTGTGTCCCCTCTCATACACTAACTTTTCTTCCTCCACCATCCAGCACCATTTGAATTGCTCTTTTCCTTCCTCCCAGCACTCAAACACGTCAGTGGATCAGATCAGAACCAGACCAGGTACAATAATCAGAACTCCACTGCCCAGCCCACATACAGGATCCCAACAATCAGTTACTCAGAAGCAGCAGGTTGCAAATGAAGTGATCCATTTGCACACGATGGAATGTAGTCAATGTGCCTTTTAAAAATAAACAAAAACTATAAAACTAACTAACTTTGTTTACCTAAAAAAGTTAGTTATTGCTTTTTCCAGAGACTCTGCAGATGTGTGGGTCACAACCACTGTGCTGACAGTACAAGCCTGAGAATTGCTACAGCCACCAATTCCCTGGAGAAACTGCTCCATCTGCCTGCAGGGCTTATAACCTCTACCCTAAGAGCCAAAGCAACCATGCCAAAAAGACCATTTCTCACATCTCCAAACCACAATGCAAACATGCATTTGAGAAATGGCAAAGCACCACTGAGCCACACAACAATCTAAGATACAGGAGCAGATAATCATAAGGCAGGAAACAAACAAAAACCAGGGCTACAGGCAACACGGTGCTTGGATCAGTGGCACTCGGGAGGCAGTTACCTGTGACTTGCTTGTCCTTTCAGTTCTTAACTAGAGAGAGAGTGTGCATGTAGAATAATAGGACAGAACAGAGGAAAAATCCAGTTAATGTAGGGAAGGCAGGTGCAGATAACAGGATAAATTAGTGCTGAAGGAGGGAAGGGAAACAGACAGAAATATTCACACATTTTTGTAGGATCCTAAGAATTTCTGACCAACCAGAGCACTCAGTGGAATCCATAAAGGGATGGATATTAAGTCCATTACTTTGTCATGGAAGAATCAAAAGCAATTTGTGCTGTTGTTGAGGAAACTCCACGGGCCTGGGGAAGGGAAGCTAACCTCCTCCTCTCCAAAGCCCTCTCCTAACGCTGTGGGAAAAAATCACCCTCATTAGCCAAAATTGCCAAGGAAAGACTGGGCTTTGCTTTCAGCACCACTATTTCCAACCCAGCACAGTGAGAAGCAGCTGACCCAGGGAACCACCTGCTAGTGGCCCAGGTTACATTGGCTAGGAGAGAGTGCTAACAGGGAGAAGTCACCTGTCCATGAGCAAACCCCCACTCCTGACCCCGTGGACTGCCTGGTAGCTGGAGCAGTGCCGGGGGTGTCCCGAGGTCCCCTCCCCACCCAGGCCAGGCCATCACCAGGGCTACAGCCAAAGGCAAAGTGCTGGAATCTGCAATGCTGCTGCCATAAAGGGGACAACTAGAGACTACAGTTTCCTATCTCATCTGCGTGGCACTTCCCACCCCGTGGATCTCACTGGGGGCTGCAGCCACTCGTTCTGGTCTCCTGGGTTTCCTGGCGCAGGGCGGGCGGCGGGGAGGACACGCTGGGAGCACACAGTGCCTGGCACTGCCTCCTCAGCACCCAGGCCAAGGGGCTCCTGCCCTATTTTAAAGGTTTGCTGATTCCATGCTTGAGAAGTCAGATGGATTTAATCAAATTTCAAGCACATCACAATATTTATTTAGTGACTTGGGGGGCTGGTGGGGGAGCTGGCACTGATAATGGGAAATGGTCTCATATGTCACACTCCTCAGAGCTTATGAAAAGCCTAATGCCAATAATTTAGGCACAGAAAGAGTTCTGCTGCTTTGGATTAATTTCCAGTCATGGGAACCAGCAAGCTTCTCCCCTCTCCCTCCTACTGTCCTGGTATTTTCCTAAAAGCTCAAAGCAGACATTGGGAAAAAAAAAAAAAAAGATTACAAAAAGAGAAATGAAGAAAAATTGTAAACAACCAGATTAATCTGATCAGATAAATAGAGTATTTTAAATTTCTGTATGAGGCTTTCATAAAAGCCCACTACAGGTGGGCAGTCAGAATCTGTTTCTAAAATAAGGGATTACATCTTAAGAAGCACCCAAGTCACTTAACTGTTCCTGAAAATGTAACCATCAGTGTCCAAATTCCTTGGACAATTAAGGGGGAAGGGGAGGGATTTGAAGAGAAGCTCCTCTAGTCATAGGCAAGAGCTGTATTTCTTTACTTCCTCTTCACAATTCTATGCAACAGAGAAAACCTTGTCAAAATCTCTTCCTTTCCCTCCCCTCCCACCCAAATCAGGAGGAAAAAAAAAAAAAAAGCCAGTTTCCTTATTAAAATATATACCCTGATTGCCCCAGTTCCCATTTTCCATCTTTGCAAACATCCAGTTCATGAGTAAAGATACAGTCACAACATCCCAGGGACCACACGTGTATTTTTGGCTTGTAACAACTCCAAAATGCTGCAGCTCAAGCAGCCTTCCTTTAAATGGACTCAGATTTGACTGAGCAGTTGGGAAGTGCTGACAGTCCCCCCAGCGTGGCTGATGTCAGGGAACATCAGATCACACTCCTTGCTTCTTTACATTACGCAACTCTGCCCTCAGCTCACAGTCCAATCCCACACACAACATTAAGCATATCCAGAAATGTTTTGCATGCTGGGGATTTATACAGTTAGGACCAGAATTGTCTGCTGTGTTCATAAAACGTGATCTCCTGAATCACCCAGACCAGAGAATTCTGTCCAGTAATCCCTGAACTGACAGCAGTGATTTTGCAAGTTCTTCGAGGCAGGAACTGGTTTTGTTGTTAGCAGAGTGCACTTCAGAGATCATTTCTGATGTGGTTATCCCTCAGTGAAACACAAATACTGGTAATGGAAATATCGTTTCTTAATATGAGTTTCCCATATTCAATCTCTACTTAATGCTCTGGTTTGGATCTTAAAATTTACTTAGTATCATACCACATTCACTAAAAAACCCAAGGAGACAAAAAACCCTGAACAAACAACCCAAACACTCATGGACTATTGACAGTTTTACTACTGCAGATGGTTAGCTACACATTGAAAGGACTAATCTAAACCAGACACATCTAGGAAAAAAAAACAAAACAAAAATATCTATGCAGACTTTTTCTACATCATTGCCAAAAATAAAGAAAAAGAGCTCTTGATAGCAAAACAACATACAGGAGCTTCTAAGACGCTACGTAGAAGCTGAGACAACGATGTGGTCTAAGGTGGAGAAAGGTGAAGAAAATCTGCTCTTACCAGTAAAGAATATAGGGGATTTACTTCGAATTTCCTCCAATTTTTGAACGAACAAGGCGTTCATTTCCCTCTGGAGGGTGCCCACTTGCCTTCGAGAAGTTTCAGAACAGCGCTTGGGGAACTCTGGGCTTCCAAGGCTCTCTAGGCTGCTGGAGTTGGAGGATATAGAGCCATTGCTGGCTGCAACCAAGTTGACAGTGCTTCCATACTTGCCACCTGATTGGCACTGCCACCGCTGCCGGGAATGAGCCTTTATTCCGTGACACTTAGATTCAACATTTTTCTTCCCTGGGGTCACAAAAGGCTGGGTGCTCCTCGTTAGATCATCGGCAGTTCCAGGGCTGCTGCAAGACTGGAAATCTGACTGCTGCCTGGGCTGACCTTTACCACCCCAGGTTCTTAGCTCTACCCTCTCTTCGCCAGTTATACTGCTATACTGATCATGGTGATGGATATCTTTAGCAATAGGCCTGGTAGGATGCTCACTCCACTTGCACTCTAGATCTGGGCTTTCTTTGGAACCGATCATGCATTTCATACAATTGGTGGCCACTCCAATCCTGCCAGAGCTGTTGATGGCACAGCGTGCAAAGACGCTTTGCTTCTCGCTCTGGTGCTCCTGAAGCCGGACCCTGTGAGACCTCTGCAAGGGTTCACTGAAAGCAGCACCCCCTGCAGCACAGGTCTGGCTTTTGGCCTTACGAGAACCATGGGCCTTACCTTTCAACCCCTTGCCATGTACCTCCCCACTGGCACCATCTCGGGGAGCTGGTGACAGAGGGGCACTTTCTGGCTCTTGCTCAAAGCGTGGCTGTGAGGCAGCTTCCACTTCACAGTCTTCACCGGCCCCTTCAGAGCTGTTGTCTTTTGTATCAAAAGCAATTTCAGGAAAGCCCTTCTTGTTCTTCTTCTGGCTTTTGGTGGGAGCACTGGCTGTCCGTCTCAAGATGTGGCTGCTAAAGGAATGTTTGCGATGGAGCTGACCAGCAGCATGACTGTCCAGAGAGGCCTGCTTTGGATTTCTGAGAAACAGGCCTTTTAGACCCAGAGCTTGTTTGGCCTGGAAAATTAACAAACAAAAGAAATCCTTAATAGAAACAGCAAGTCTCTTCTTTGGGCACAGGAACTCCCGTAGAAACCATGGGTTCCCATCCGCACGCTCACACAGAGTCTCACGTAAACATTAGATTTTGAAAAGACAAATTTTTAAAAAGGAAATACTTCAGTGTACAAGGACCTATTCTAAAGCTGAAGAGCTTTTCAGTGTGTGCTAAAAGCCACCAAGCTTGAGCTACTCATAATGCCACACATTCCAGACTTTTTGAGACTGAAGTCAAAGTGTTTCCTTTTCAGCCATTCAGCTTTGGGGGGTTTTGTTGTTTGTTTATGGCTTTTTAAACACAAAGCTCTGTGAGGTATGGGTCACTTTTCCAACACAACAGGTATATTTAAAATAATTCTGTCCCAACAGTTTAATGGCATGGATATACAGCAGAACCTGGTGGAAACCAATTCACTACAGGAACCCAAGGAGAAATGGAGGCTTGAAGGTTTGTTACAAACTTTAGTCTTTTCTTTAAAGAACGTATGCTACTGGAAATGAACATAAATAGTTTTGATAATATGTCCTACCATACAACACTTATCCAAACACACTCATGTATGTTTTCATCACTGAAGAAACACACTATAAACAAGTGAAGTTAGTCAAGGTGACAATACAGAGCTTCATACAGTGCAGTACTTATTTAAGCATTAAACATCCACATTCACCATCATCAATCTCCCACCATCCACAAGTGATTTACATCTCAGTGAAACAGAGTTTCAGCATTCCTGTGAACATTCCAGGTGTACTTGCCAACTTTTAAAGCCACAGGCTGATGCCTGATGAAGAGCATGTTGTGTTTGCTCTGCACATAGAGCCTCACACACACAAATCACTTAAAGCAGGGCAAGAGATATTTCCCTTCTAATCTACTTCTCCTCCTTTGTTGCCTTTAGATCAGACTCTCTTTAGCAGCTGTAGCATAATGAATGAATAAAAATGGAGTACATGAGCCTACAATTGAAATGCCTTCTAAGAAACCCATGAAGAATTTGACCAGCATCCAGGCACTTGCTGTCAGATCAATTTTTACCCTGTGGTGTCATGTGAGGTCACATTTCTGCCGTGCCAAACAATGGCACAGAAATGTCTCATTTTAATTGCAATGGTCTGTCCTTTGTCCCAAAATATTCAAGTGCATGCTCATGCATTTCAGATTTTGCTTTATAGGACTTAACAGATAGATATTAGCTGTACTGTACAGTAAGCCTGGGCTAAAAGCTGCTTTTATTCATAAGGATCCTGCCAACCTGGCACGTTGGATCGACCTTTATCTGTCTGACACAAAGCCCAATGAAAGCATTCAGAATGTTACTTTTATAATTGACTCAAGTTTCATTACCACGTGCCAAGACCCAGTGTGAGGAGGAGATGATTAAAGAGACCTAAAATGGTCTTTAAAAGTATATACAGGATAAAGAAGGCAGGGATTGGTTTCTCCCATACAAGGCAAAGAAAATGTAATTTAAATATTAATAAAAGTTCTCTGAGAGCCAGACTATTGAACAGTCTGCTTGGATCAGTGTGGATAGAAAGCTTCAAAAACAGATTATGCATTTGTCAAGGAGCAAAGGGAAAAAAAAACATTCTGATCCAACAGGGGCAAGCTGGCAAGTACATGAATTTATTGCTATAAAAATCAGACAATATAAATATTTGAAAAAACGCAGAGAAAATGTCATACACACACACACAAGTAACATCCAGTAAAAGTAAAAGCAAAGCACTGATGGAATGGGTGACACGTGGTGCAAGGCCCCAGAGATCATTCTGGCTTATTTGGTGCATCTTTGTTAAACCAGCTACTATTACTTGAATCAGTGGAGTGATTCAAGAACCCAAAGACAAATTTGGTTAACAAAGGGAAAAAAAAAAAAAGTTAAAAACCAAAAGAAGAGCCATTTTGAGGGAGATCCAGAACATGTGCTGTCAGCTTCTAGTCCAGCTTTTACTGGGCTATTTCATTCTTTAAAGCAGAGTTGAAAAGCAGCACAAGAGGCTTTCCCACAATTTAGCAAACAATTCAGTGTTAATGTTCTTTTCCATGTGAAAGAAGTGGTTTATTGTACACTAGAGAAGAGACAGCAGAGGCAGGGACTCAAAGAAGAAAGGGAGAGTACAGAAGGACTTTCATCCTGGATCTGCTTCATACATGGAGGAGTCTCTGGCTGACCAATGACCCAACAGAAGTGACCAAGTCAAATGTTGCAATTCATGTTACATGAGTTGAAGAGCTTCAAAATGCTCAAAAGGAAACATTGATGCTAATGAAGCAACTAGTTAGAGACATGCAGGTGTGTGGTGGTGGTCACTACACCTCCCTGAGACAGGAGGGGGTACCTTCAAGGCGTCTAAAAACGCTCTGCTGCTAAAAGTAGATTTTTTTGACATAGAGAAGCCCACTGAAATCACAAACAGACAGAGTAAAGGCAGAATAACAGTGAGGGAGGATCTCAGAGATATGCACATCAAGAAAAGCACAAGAAATTCTGCAATACGTTAATAGACTAGAGAAGAGACAGAGACAAAGAGAAGCATCTCCAGAAAACAGTGCAATCTAAAAGAGATTTCAGTTAAACGCAAGTTAAGGTGAAAGAAAATTTAAGAATTTGCTTTAGTAATATCAAGTTCTGAAAGGGTAGAATATCTACATTTAGAAAAAAATGACCTTTTTGCCATGACCTGTGTGGTAGCCTTTTATCTGTAATAGGCCCTACAGTCCAAAATTAAACACTGCTCATCTGCTCCGTGCTGCTCAGAGCCACACCACCCGCCCCTATTCCACCTAAATCTTCTAAAGTCTCTTGCTCAACAGAGCTAAATTCAAACAGATTCAAAATGCCATCACAGGAGTTTCAGGCAGGACTCCTCGTCCTGTCAGGATGAAGCTACACGTGCCTCAAGGTTTTCCATTAGACATCAGATTAAAAATCAAGAACTGAACTGAAATGTCTAAAGTGACATTCCTTCCAGAAACAGCCTTTCTTCCTATAAATACAAACCAAAGATTTCCTGGGATTTATCTGTGTTTCATCCCTCAAAAGTGTGGATTAAAAAGTAGCAGTTTAAAAAGCTGTTTTCCTTGTTAAGAATTGTTTTAACTCCTCTTGGGTGAACCCAGACCCGGAGCCTGTTCAATGCCTCCTCCTGCTGTCACCATGCTGATACTGCAGCTGGCTACAGAACGCTCAGCCTGTCACTGCCAGGGGATATAAACGAGTTTTGAGACTCCCAAGGGACTGCAGGATACTCAGCTACCTGAATTTTATTGGAACTAACAGGATAGAAGGAGCTAAACCCAGCACACTGTGAGGAAAGAAGCTATGTCTTCATTCAGCTTGGAGTTATTAATGTGAATTCAGATATAGCTCCCAGACAGTTGTATTTTTCCTGTATGTGATGCAAATACCCTCTTAATAACAGATAAGCAGTGAAAATAAGTCCAACAGCTATTACAGGGATCATCTTTCCTCTACATTTTAAGTGTTATTATGGAAAAACCCCGAAGCAAATAACCCTTAAGAAGACAGTTAAATGTAAAATGTGAAGGCATCAGGCAGAGCCTTTACAGAATCAGCTTTGCAGGCACCAGGCACTCCTGGTTCAGGTGTGTAACCTGTTCAGCAAGGGACACCTACTGTGTTGGACACAAGCAGTTTGATTTCTATCAGTGTGAGGAGCATGCTGCAATGACATGACCTTCCCCTGCGGCTGCCTCGGAAAGGCACTGCCAGGATCCCTCTGGGATCTGCCTCTAGCTCCTGGCTTAGCTGGACCTCAGGCTACCGAGACAGCCACAGAGACGAGGTTTAGTCAAACACACCCCAGCCTGGACCTTCACCCCGTGGGCTCCCCTGAGTGCCACGCAGCCCTGCCCCCCTGCCAGCCTGACCCCCGGGCACTCACCTTACCGCAGATGTCGTTGATAGCCACGTGGACGAAGATGGAGGCCTCCTCTATGCCCTCCAGGTACACGTGGCGGTAACCTGAAACAGAGTGGGCACAGCTGACAATGAGGAAGAGCATCCAGAGACTTTCCTTTCATAATCACCAACAATATTAACCAGTTTTTTCCCAGCTCCTCCACACAACAAGCCTCGAGGCTTGTACATCACGTAGCCACACTCAGTTACCCGAGAGCCACACCACTTACAAACCTATCTGCCGTTTCTTCTTGTCCCTTTTATTTGATAGAAAAGACACATCCTGTTTTTTCTACTGTCCATTATTGCTGCTGTCAATTTGTGACTTGACTCCATTCTTCCTTGGGGACTTAAAGTCCATTGTTAATACTGCAAACACTTCAACCAAGTTCATTATATTGAGACTGGATGTTTGTTTTCTATTGACACTGGATGTTTGCTTTCTGTCTTAAGCACAAACTTTTTTCTTTACTTTGAAATAAAGGAAAAATATACACAGAAGTAGTTTTAATGTGAATGAAAACTGAACCAAAAACAGAAATAGGAAAGTGACAGAAAATGGCATTTAATAACCTGGATCCCCTCACTAGAACAGGCAACTATCTGTTCTATATTAAACTTAGTCTTACAGTAATAAGACTAATCTTTCAAAAACCTGTGTGAAGAAAATGAAGGAAAAAGCAGCATGTTATAACAGGAGTAAAGATTCTATATGATAGTCTTCCAAGCCCACAGTATTTGGCCATCCTGCTTTACAAGCTTAGCCATTTTTTGGAAATCTAGTCCCACAGAGTTAACGTGTCCCTCAGGCTCCAAACTCCCAGTCTCTTGCTCTCACTAGGAATTTTCACAGCAGACACATGCACATTGACCAATGCAGCACTGGCAGCTTCACTCACCACAAAGTGCTAGCCACCTGACTGGGGACTTCACCATTTTGGCTTACCTGGCATCATACTGCTGAAGGCTATTGTCCTCTGCCCGATGAAATCCCGGCCGATGGGGTCGTGGTCCCACACGAGGAACCGCACCAGCGCCACCTCGGGCATGTGCAGGGTGAACACCAGCGTCTCCTCCCACAGGGGGTTAAACCCTGGGAACCAAGGAACAGCCTCTTAGATCCCTCACAACAGCCCAGGAGGAAGAAGAGGAAGAAGGCTGCTACGTAAGGAGCACCTAAACTGCAACGTCATTCTAGTTTTCCTAACGGTTTGATCATGGTTCTTGGAAAATCCAGTACTCCCACTCACTCCACCAGGAGACCCAACAGCACAAGAATTTGCAGGAAACAGAGTTGGATCTTACTTCAGTTTGGTCCTGCTTTCTATTGGCATTTGGACAACCTGGCTTTCCTTTGACCACAGCAAGCTCAACATACACTTCCCTCACACACAATGAGAAGTCAAATGCCTTGTTTCACACCAGGGCCTCCACAACGTTACACTAACTCAGTTGGACAATTCAAGGCTCAAGTCTGATTAACATCAACAATGTTTAATTCAATTTTTCAGTGCTTTGCCAAAATAGGCACAAATTCTATTAATATCTTGATGAAGAAAACTTGCCTGAAAGAAGATGTTTCAGCTATAAACCCCCCCAAAACCCACATAATCTTACCATTATCATCAACTACTCTAGTTTGTTCTTTGAAGCAGTCAACAGGTAAGCCTATAACTTCTACTTCAACAAAAGGATCTATGATCTGGAAAACAGAAGGTAATAAATATCAAGTGACAAAGATGAAATTCAAGCACATGGCCTTTACAACGTGGGCACTGTACATCCTTGTCTTTATTATTAAGAATTTTAAATACTACCTAACTTACTGTAGCTTTCAACAGGGCTTTTATTTCTGAGGGTATGCTTATGAAGTGTAGATACCTGACCTAGCACTGTATTGACAATTGAAAGAGAAACATCAAACCATTGCTGTGATGCTTAGAAGTGAAGAAAACCACCTAAAGGTCTAGGATGCTAATGACCTGGTTTGCCCAAGTTCTAGGTCTCCTGAGAGATAACTGCAGAAGTTAAATCCTCATCTTTAGCCCGGCCAATATGGAAATAAACGTTTCCCAACACACCAGAACAATCATCGATTGTCTCATACCTCTCCTCTGTCTCCCAACATGGAATCACGTGGTTTTGGGAGTTGCTGACCACTGATAATCCTTAGAACCAGCTGTTTCTTCAACTGACCAGGTAGTGGGTCTTCAGAGTTTGGATTAAAGACACCTGTAAGAATGAGAAGACACATAATGTGAAAGAAGTGCAATTTTGGGGATGACTACTTACAGATACCTTCTGGCTCATTTGTTTTAGCATCAGAAATGCATTTTTAAACAAAACATGATAAGGATCCACACCCACTCTTCTCATGCAACAAGCAATACACTTATTTTGCTTGTTTTCCTTACCTTGACACATGCAGTTTGGTTTGAGGACATAGCCACAATTCCCATTGGCACTAAATTTGGCCCGGTTCAGTTGCATCATTCTCCCCTCTGACTGGTAGTTTAGTGCAACTATTTAAAAGAAGAAAAAAAAAAAAAAAAAAAAAAAGAAACCTAAATACATTAAAATAGATTTTCACATTTGAATTCTTGGGTACAAAATCTCAAAGGTTTTATGAAAAAGAATTATCTTATGCAACACCTATCACAGCTTCAGGGAGAAAGGCTCTCCAGAAGACTGAACTCAGAAGTCCTCCTGCATTGGAGAAGTTAATTTATCTCCATTTATCAGACAATCACTTGCACGTAAGACACGTTTGAGGTAATCCATCTAGGTAACAACATAGCAACGAGGAAGACTCAGCTGTCATAAAGCTGGACAAGCAGAGAACTCTTGAGTATTTTAAGGGGTGTTTCAAGAGCTCCTGTTAAAACATCCCTCCTAAAATAAAATAAAAAGACCCCAAGTTTTCTTTCTGCTCACCCAGTTGGCAGCCAGCATTCCAGAAGGGCTGGGGGTTGTAGTTGCTGGAGTCCACACGGTAGGAGGACGGGTAGATGCGGGAGAGCTGGTGCTGGTTGAAGCGCAGATACTGCGCTGGCTTCTGCTGCAGGATCTGGTGGGCTTTTGTTTCACTGAAAGATGAAACCTGCCAGCTGGAAGAGACTGCAAAGAAGAGAGCAGGAGATTAGAGGTAATGTTCTTATTTATGGATTTAGTATCTAGATAAAGCATTCAAAACTACATAGCTCCTTATAACCCTCAGCCATCATCTGAATACACCCCACTCAGAAGGAACAAGGCTTTTCTTATTTACAGCAAAATCACCAAACCTCTTGGAGCAGCTATGGTTGGGAAAAGCTGGATATAATGAATGACCTGGATCTTCATTAAGAAGTTTTTTTAAATTCTCTAATTTTTTTTTATTATTTGCTCAGGAGGAGTATGTTTTCTGGCAAGCAAGTCTCTCTTTCTGACACTTCTAAGTAAAACTTGATTCCTGTCAAAATAAGATGCAGAAAACTTAAAAAGGGGACTGAAATCTAGAAAATTAAAGCTGATAATTCATCAGATTTTACTTAAAAATCTAAACTTTAAGCTTGAATTCTTCTGAACACTCTAAATACTCTGTTATTTCCTAGGAAGAGATGTATAGCAGCTTTTAGACAAGCTAGCAAAGACTACATGTGTACTACTTACTACTGGTAGTAACTTTTTCTCCTTTATGGAAGCTGCCACACAACTCTAGACTCACTTTGGGGATTCTGAATGGCCAGATACTTCAAAATAGTATAACTCTGTGTGTAGCTCTTCTCTTAAAATCTTTTCAGGGCGGGGAAGAAACAAAGAGAAAAGCAGCTTTCAATAAAAAGATATGTAAGAACATAAACCCTTCAATTTCTTTGTATAGCAATTATTTACAGCAGACTTTTAATTTGACCTACTTTCAGTTTCAACATCCTGGATGCCAACAGACTTTGTGTATTTCACCAGGTCAGAGAGTGCCCTGGACAGCTTCACTGTTTTCTTCTGTCGGTTTATCCTAGAAAAGAGAAAACAAATTAATTTTCCACCAATTAAGGGTTAAATTTTATCTTCCTATTTAAAAATAAATCAGGGCAAAGAAATATAAGGTTTTCTTCCACCAAGAATGTTCTCAATAGTTTTACACCACACAGAGGTTCAATGTTAAAGCACAGAAACTGTGGAACCAACGGCACGAAAGCGCACGACAAGTCCTGTTCTCACATGTTAATGGCAGGCATAAGTATTCCCCCACTGAGAGCTGCTCAGGACTCTACACTGCTTTGACCAAAGGGTGGAATGTCTATTCACATATATATTTACTTCGCAAGTCAAGTGCTAACAAAAGAACCTTTCTAAATCCAAAAGAAATAATAGGAATGTAATGCTTTGATCCTCCTCAACTGCTTCAGGTTATCAGTAGCAGCACATCTGCTAACCTCCCAAAGAAAGCTCCAAAGTATCCTACAGAACTGCTTGATCTGATTTCTTACTTTTGAAGCCTGAAGACTAAGCAACCATTCTGCAAAAGATCTTTGATGTCAGGGCTTTTAAAAAGGCAACATCAAAAGAAAAATCAAAATCAGCACCTGAATGTTGATGCAGTTTAATTTTGAAAATTATAAATAATTTAAAAAAAAAACCAAACAGCTGGAGACCTGACACACTGCAAAACCACCTTAATAGATTCACTGGGCCACCAGTCAACTGGCCTGTATGTCAGCAGGATGAAATGCTAAGAGCTCAAAACACATCCAAGGTCCACTGTGTTTTGTTAATTAGTCTGGACGGCATCAAGAGACCATTCTGATGAACTGGGGGTGGACACTGGATCCACCCTTATACCAAATTCCTGTCACCTGCCTGCAGCCTTCAACAAATTGGCTTCTGGACCTGAAGTATATCTATTTAGTGGGTACATTTATGTAGGTACCTTTTTTAGAAACAAAATTGCCAAATGGCTTGTTAACACACCTGCTGTAATGTACAGAGCTCCTGGCTAAATTTCCTTGAGAATCCGAATCATCTTCACCCTCCTCCAGACTTGTTGCCTTTTTCAATTTGCTTCCTTTTTTCTGTGCCACAAGGAAATAAAATCATAATGTCATAACCATCTGATCAACTTAGATTGAGCAGCTGGACAATCCTGCCTTGTTATGCCAGTGTTACTTACAGAAAATGGGGAATGACAGCTTTTGTAACACTCAGTACTGCACAACAATGTGCATGCACACGTGCAGGACTTGCCTCAGGGACAGAGATTTTTCATAAAGGAATCACAAATCCTCAGGTCAAAGGTGCAAATGAATTTTTCTGTTTTCCAGATTAGATCTTGGATACTTGATGTAAATTGAAACTGTAATGCACAATTATAACCAGCCTTTCTATTCAATGACCAGTCTGATAGCAAGCCCATGTCAGACACTGCAGTTACGAGGTTCCTCTCCACCACCCTGTCTGAAGAGAAGAGCTGTCCCAGAACACAATATTTAGTGCAGACCAAGAGGCTCACCTTGCGTTTAGAAAAACTGCCCATCAACGACCTGCTGTGCCTTTTACTGGTGCTGAAGTCTTCCCCAGATTCCACATCATCCTCCAGTTTATTCTAAAGCAACCAAACAGAACGAATAATGCAGCAGACCAAACAGAGTGCTCCAGACAGCACATCTGAACAGCATTAGAAATACTTTGGGAATGGACCCTCCCTGTAGTGCCAACAAAATTGGGCCAGACCAGTGAAGACTTTCATTTAAACACAAGCTGAGAACAAGTCCTTGTATCCCAGCGGTAATTACCACCATTTTTGTCCACAGGAACTTTCAGAGCAGACAGAAATCACACAAATACCTAACACCAATTTTATTTTCATCCAGAAAAAGTTTGAATGCCTTCATACCACATACATTCACTGACACTAGATTGGTTTGTAGCTTAGTATTTGAAAAGCATAGTTTAACAGGACTTACTTCTGCCAATGACACAGCTTTACTAGGATACTCCATGGTAAGACAAAAACCAACACTCTCATAATCCTTAAAAACACATCTATTTCTTTGGTTTTTACTATGACCTTACAGTTCCATTGCTTCCTAGATGAATAAAACACAGACTGTTCTGGTAACTCCCCTGCAAAAGGATACTTGAAGTCTTGGCCTTACAAGAGTAAGTGTCAGATATGTCAAGTGCATCATTAGGTGCAAGTACATACAAAACTCATGCCATACAAAGTTTTGGGAAGCTGATTTTAGTTCTCATCTAGTTTTAATCCCTGATTCATAAGTGTACTCTGTGGGCTGAGCATATTTTTACAAATAAGCATTTGGATAAATTTAAAAGACAAATGTAAATGCACAGAACAGAAGGAACTGGGGGGAAAGAAAGCCCAACTTTCATGTGCACTTTTTATAATGGAAAATGAAATTCTTTCTGTTGAAAAGTCATTTCATGTGTACATTTCATGCTCCAGTTGCTGTGGGAGCGAGAAAAAAAGCTTTGAGTATCTGACAGTGATATTCCCTTGGCAGCATCACCATGAACTGAATGAATTCAGCTACGAGGTCAATAAAACATGATTTATTTGGTAAATTAATAAAAAATAACAAATGGAAATGCTAACCACTTCTTTCTCTGAAGTCACTGGAGAGAGTCACTGGACTCTGGAGAAAGGTGGTTAGCACTTCAGGTTGTATTTTGAAGGGCTGCTATGTTTCATTATTCATCTGCAATAACAGACCATCCCTCTGCACCAAGCGTGAATCACAGAAACAGCTAAACCTAAAATCTCATTACCAGCAAATTAAAAAGAAGCCTCCTCTAAATGGACATAAATGCACTAAGTATTCCTCCTTATAATACAGCTTTTGTATATGCAACATGCAGTATTAATAAGATAACATGCCAAAATAGTACAGGAAATACTACAGAAGAAGTGAACATGTTTTCTTATATATTGAAAGAGCCAAATAAATGGTGGTCAGGGCAGTCATCCAAGAATAGAAAACATAGCTTCAAAATCCCAGTTCCACCAAAGTCTGTCTGGGGACCTGAGCCTGGATCTCCCACACCCCAGGTGAAGGTTTTGGCTCTCTGGTTATTCTTCAGTTGTAATATCCTGGTTATCCTTGACAGGAGACAGGGACCTAATGGCAAATAGACTCTGCAAAATTCCTCCTGTGACTCCACTAACTCGTTTTAAGAGAAGTGCTGAGTGTTCCTTTGTCTCATGAGTACTGTGATAGCTGCACACACCTCAAGTTAACTGAGCTAGCTTCACTGGGGAGTCTCAAAACAGATTTAAAAGCACAAATTTTGGCATCAACCTTCAAAACAACAAACATTATTGTTATGAAATAACAGTAGTCTGTAGCTACAGAGACAAAGGAAACAATAATCAGGTCTTGGGGAAGTAAAGTACAATAAAACATGTTCACCTTCTTACTCTCTGATTTTAGACCAGCCTTTCCTGATGATGGTAGAGTGGTAACTGTGAAATTGTTTGGATCTTCACAGTCACGGATTTTGGATTCTTTTATCAGTGAGTCAAGCTTCTTCTTTGCTATATTCTCCACTCTTTTCCTATTAGTAGAAGCCTACAAACAGAATAGAATCATTAAACTACGTAGTGATGAAAAAAGTCTTAGTAATTCCAGCCAGGATTAATGCAAACCAAAATGTTATATGTAAGAAAAAAAAAATTAAAAATAGGTTCTTCATTTGCATAGTGTCAAGCAGTTACTTGCAGCTTGGTATCAGGCTCAGTGTGAGGTGAGGAAGTGGGGGAAACAAAAATAGAAATCCAGAGTTTTCTTTTTCACCCATGAGGCATCAACTGGCAATCCCAGGTCTTTGAAGAGGTGACAGGTTGTGTTTTCTCAGTAGGCCTCAAGAACTGCCAGTTAAATTTCTCATCAAACAAGACACAATCTTCTGAGCTCTTCAAAATTTGGCTTGGAAAGCAAACCAGATGTAGCAAATCTCAGACTTCAAGCATTAGTAAACCTCAGAGCAAAGTGAACTGTTAGTTCATTAACACACACAGTGTCTAACAAAGACAATGAGGTCAACGCCTACTGAGCCTTCAGTGAGGATCATACACCCAGCCCTAACATGTCACTACCTCATTTTATTATGAATGATGACACTTTTCTTTCTGGCATTGATTTCTGCAGCCATTTAATGGATGAAAAATAAACATTATTTGACATCTCTTTATAAATAGCCCGGGTGTGGGCTTAGTTGAAAAGAATCATGTCACTGAGAGACCTGCTAACACTCCTGCCCTTGGCTTTCACCTCATTTCCTCCCTGTCCAGAAGGGTCATGCCTTCATGCCAGGCCTGATCCTGCACTGGTGCAAAGCCACCTGGACTGAACTGTAGCACTGCTGGCTCTGCAGTACCTTCCACTCCGAAAAGCTGCATCATGCAGCAAGGAAGTGTCAAAAAATATGAAGCATTGAAACATCACAGATCTCAGCTTTAAAAGATGGAAAAGTTATAGGCTAAAAGATAATCACTTAAAAACCAAAACAAATTATTTTCCCCCTTTGGGAGACTTATTCATAAAGAAGTTTCTCTTTTAGTTTTAGATGAAAAGAATCAAATCCATAATACAAAATGAGGAGTTAGCCTGGGGGAGAGAGGACTGAAAATGGAATCACTCTGCAAGGCAATCTAGTTTATGTTATTAAGTGCTTTTGCTGTGTGCTTTATATTGTTTCTGTAAGATGCAATGTCACTCACCAGAGGATTAAAGTGACAAAAAAAAAA